ACTCTTCTTACTGGTTTGGTTTGAATCGGTTCATACTTGGACATAGCTTCCATATATAATTCCGAAATTTTGTGCATACGTACCGAATAATGCTGGTCAAAAATGACTCAGATATAGATAAATATATGTTTCATCCGATTTCAGGTAAATGAGAACCTAATAACGTTAAATGTGTCAAATCCTTTAAAATTGGTTTATTATGCCGTATAATATACACCCTAAGACAACCTGTTACACTTTGTAAATTGCCACTTTATCAAATACAATATTAAAACAGTAAGGAAAATAGTAAAGTCGGACGGGGCCGACTATATGATACCCTTTACCACTTTTGGTATATTCAACAGATGAATTTTAACAGACGTCGCATTTTTGAAGGATCAGTAAAATGAAATTGTCCCATAAACATATCTTTCTGCAATCTATACTATATCGAAATCTAGGCCGATTTCATCGAATCTTGTCACAGAATATCGGCCTCATTTTGAGTTCTTGGTGCATCATTTAGTTAAAATCGGTAGCTTCATTTAGTTAGTGTATGGTAGCTCTATCCAAATTTGAACCGATTTCAATAAAACTTTCCACATATAAACTATATAATTTTGGGTCTTTGGTACACATTTTACTTAAAATCTGAGGGAACTATTTATATTAACTATATCTAAAGCTGAATCAATTTCAACAAAACTTGCCACACGTCATCTCATAATAACTTCAAAAAGTTGTGCAAAATTTTGTGCCAATCGGACCCACCTGGGGAATTCGGTGCAGCATTAATATCTAACTTATAGGTAATACTAAGTTCATTACGAAAGATATATATGGACTTTCGTGTACCATAAACATTAAATCGGACGAAAATGTATTTGGGAGCTATTCTAAATCTGGACCGATTTTTAGGAAACTTAACACACATTATTCTAGACCCAGTTCATTATGCTGTGCCAAATTTCGTGCAAATCGAAAAATATATAGGGTCTGTGGTGCACCATTTACCTAAAATCGGAAGAAAATATATATGGGAGCTTTATCTAAATCTAAACCGATTGTCAGGAAACATAACACACATCATTCTAGACTTTATTCAGCAGACATGCCAAATTTCGTGCATATCGAAAGATATTTAGGGACTTTGGTACACCATTTTCCTTAAATCGGACGAAAATATATATGCGTGCTATATCTAAATCGGAACCGATTTTCACGGAACTTAGCACACATCATTCCAGGCTTAACTCAGTATGCTGTGCCAAATTTCGTGCATATCGAAAGATATTTAAGGACATTGGTGCACCATTTACCTTGAATCGGACAAAAATATATATAGAAGCTATATATAAATCTGAACCGAACGGACGAAAAATAGGAGCTATATCTAAATCTGAACCGATTTTCCCAATTTTTGTAGGGTTCGTCCTTGGGCCAAATAAGGATGATAAATGCGACCTGTACTTTGTTTACAATTTAACATGGACAGACAGAAGGACGGACGGATATGCATAAATCGACTCAGAAAGTGATTCTATGCATATTCTCAAAAGGAACCATGGGTCTATCTCGTTTCCTTTTGCCTGTTACAAACATATGCACATAGACATAATACCCTGTACCACAGTGTGGTGAAGGGTATAATTAGCAATATTCCCGAACCACGAAAACTTACCTTGCTTTTTAATTTATCATAAAAAAAACTCCCTATATATTCGCTTTACTTAGTTTTTATTATAATTATTTATTATTATTATTTTGTGGTGTTATTTTCGTACCTTATCATATGTATGAATTTTTTGTTTAAGTCTATTTATTATATTCATTAAAATGATTACTATATAAGTTTAGGTGAATGATTATGAAATGAATAATAGTGACTAAACATGTCCACATGTCTATTATTTCATAGGTACGTAGTCATAATTAAGATTCCCAGGTTGTTTCGCATTGATTATGAACCCGTTACCTTAATTGTAACTTAAATTCCAAGTGAAGTCAAACCCAAAAATAAAAATAACAAAAATATTAGAAAACTTTATATTTTTCTTTTTAAATATTTTTTTTTTGGTTTGGAAATCATTCTACTGAACTTATATAGCATTGGTACGAAAATGAAAACCATTTGGAAATATTAGCATTCTGGTTTTTTCTCTCTTTAGGGTTTTGTTTGTTTCATTTTTACTTTTATCTACTTAATATTATGTTATACATAATTAAAATCTTTAAACTTACTTATTTATAATAATAATAGTATAATAATAATTAATAACTATGAACAATATAAACAAATGCAAAGTTTACTTTCTGTCTCTTTGACGACGACGACGATTTCTTTATTATATTTTGCATACACAATTTTAATTAGTTGTTGTTGTTGCTGCTGCTGTTGTGGATCTAATGCCTGGAACCCATTGCATCAGCATTTAGGTGGAAACCCCAGTTGCTATTGTTCTAGTTTGTATGATAAAAATGAGGATGATGATGCCAATGATGTTGATAATAATCCATGACAGGGAATGGATTTTCGACTTTCGTGTGTTGGAATTATTTGATAATAAGTTGAATCCAGTCAATTTAAAATAATTTAAATTATTTTATTTTTCGTTACAAAAATCCATAAATCCTTAAGACGAAAGTCGATTTGTATATCCCTAATAGTAGTGTACACTCATTGCTGTTATTCGCGTTGCCAACTTCTTTTCCCTCTTTTATCTCTTGTCTAGAATATAAAACTAAAAAAAAAACGATAATACCGATCTAATGCTGCAATCGATTTTACATCGAACGAGCAAAAAAAGCCATCCATTTTCTTTGCCTCCAACATCATCACTTATTTTGTTGTTGCTTATGGATAGTGCCCATGTCCTTTCGTCTACTATCAACGATACGGATGATAATGGTTTTGCTGTTTTTTTGTTGTTGTTGTTATTCTTGATGTCATTATTGATCTTAATGCTGAATGTAATGGGCGGCCTTGCATTAGATTCGGTCCAGACCGAACAGTCAATTTCATAACATTGACCCGTTTACAGTCACCTATTTAGCCAATGATTTGAACGACCACTTGTGTGCACTAGTCGTTGTGACAGACAGATACCGAAAATAACTAAACAACAATTTGTTGCAATCATAAAATCAATTATCGACCATAAAACGCTATAAACTTTTGATATATTGAAATATAATGATGCCAGCTGTCCCACAGCACCACCGGTGAATGATGTGGTTGACAGTGTTCGACGTCGTCGATAGGAGGGTATAAGTGTTGTAGCACTATTATTGCCATGTTGCATGGCTGCGGGATGTTCACCATTGATAACGTGTACCACCACTGACGCCGAATCTGAAAAGAAATAACAATGGAGTCATAAATTGTTGCCCAAAATTGCGTTTTTTTATTATTTTATACCGTACCTGAACTACTTGGCGAACATGTATAATTTCCCGAATCAGCTGGTGTTGCTTTCGATATTAAAAGTTTACTGGTGCGCGTTGTCCTTTCGGTTATTACACTAATGCCGCCACGCTGTGAATAGTTCATTAAACGTTTGCCCTTGTACCAATAGATAAATGAGGGTGGTATCGGTGATTGCATTGCCAAACATGTCAGGTTAATGTCACTGCCACTTTTAATGAATAGCTCTGGATTACCAAGAATTTTAGCACGAGAGACTGTAAGAAAAAAAAAATAAGTAATTAATTTTTGTTTTTTTTTTTTTCACGGAAATACCAAATTAAAAATTTATTGTAGAAATTTATTTAAATAAGAAGATGAAGGGATAACTTTAAGACCTTAGAAATATCTAGTAAAGCCATCGGCTTTTGACACAATAAATAGGCAGTCCATTTATGGCAGATGATGTCTCGATTAACTGTCAAAGTACTTTATTTCTACTCGAATTCGTTGTGCAATGTTGCCAACCGTGTTGCAAGAAAAAAACATATATTTTTGTTTTGGTACATCACCTAATTATCGTATCATGGTCCCGACAATCTGTAATTTTTTTCTAGTAATATTTCACATGGTAGGCAACATTGCACATCTAATTCAAGTATAAACTACACACTTTGACAGTTAATAAGATAGTCAGCTGCGACAAATGGAGTACCTATTGATTGTGTCGCGTTTTGTACTATTTTGACATTTCCGCTAGTACTATTAAAAGTATGAGAACACAGCAATATATGGAAGTCCTCTTTACGTTTTAAAAACAAATTATGTTTAACCTATATTAAAAATCACGATGCAATAATAAGGTGAATTATCAAAACAAAAATATTTGTTTTTGTCCGGCCATCCGTCAATTTTTTTAGTAATATTTCACAGGGTTGGCAACATTGCACATCGAATTCTTGTAGAAACCATGATGCAATAATAAGGTGATGTATCACAACAACAACCTTTGTTTTTGTCTCGATTATCTGTCAAATTTTTCCATATAATATTTCAAATAGTTGGCAACACATCGAATTCAAGTAGAAGTTACCCACTTTGACAGTTAATCAAGACATCAGCTGGGCTAAATGGACTACCTATTCATTGTGTCGTGGTAAAAACCAAGGTGGTAGAAAATATGCACTTAGACAGTTAATCTAATCGTCAGCGTTAAATGGAATACCTATTTATTGTGCCATTCGTTAACCAAGTGGGTTTATAATACGTTTACATTTAACCGGATTTCGTTAACGAAGTGGGTTTCAATTGTCAATTTGCATATATGTCAAATAAATCCTCATAAAGTAGGTTAACCCGGTAAAAAGTTCCAATGTATATGCCGTTTTATATTGTCAATTTCTTGAACATATGCCAAATAAATCATCATAAATGAGGTGAACTCGGTAAAAAGATCTATTGTAAATACCGTTGGATGTTCTCTATTTATCGTTAACTTACCTACTACATTTAGCCGGAATCCTTGGCTAATTTTCGGCTCCGTTGACACCTGACATTCATAGGTTCCCGAATCTCTTGGCTGGGGTGATGATATACGCAGTGTCCATTCATCGGATCCCTCAGTGTGTAGCGATTGAAATCGTTGATCATTTGTGTAGGTCAGAATGCCGACTGTTAAGATGTGTAAATCTCGTTTTCGTATCCAGGAGACCTTCTTGAAAGAAAAAAGTAATTAATAAACATGTTGAGGTGTTATAAAAATGTGAAATTTTGTCACGAAATTATGGAAAAATAATACCCTGTACCACAGTGTGGTGAAGGGTATAACAAATGCCGAACATTGATTTAAATTTTAATTTAATTCAGCTGAAATGATTTGTTAGGAATCTATAGACAGATTTATTTAATAGTTGGTAACAATAATTTTTTGATTGAGATATAAAATTTTATTCGTTTTTGTCGATAAAAATCTGACATTAAAACATATATATAGAGATCTATAAATTGATTTTTCTGTAATTATTTTATAATAGCAATATTTAGATAATGATATGTACGATGTTTTATTGGAAGATTTTTATTTATAAAAATGATAAATGACACAAATGAATTTTCAAGTAATGTCAGATGTTTACCCAGGTGTTCTTTTACTCAGCTGTTTCATGATAATATGCGAACAATTTTATTATAGAAGTCGTACGGAATATTAAACTCTCATTCCATTCCTCTCAAATTTTAATTGAATGCATCCGCAAAGATTTGTTAGGGATTTATTTAATAGTTGGTAACAATAATTTTTTGATTGAGATGTAAAAGATATTATTTCTTTTTGTTTTTGGTGGACCGTCAGAAATCGATAAAAATCTAATGTACCATGATGCAATAATGAGGTGATGTACTAAAACAAAAATATTTGTTTTTGTCTCGATTATCTGTCAAATTTTCCATCTAATATTTAACATGGTTGGCAACATTGCACATCGAATACAAGTAGAAATTATCCACATTGATACCAATTTATTCATACCCATTTATTGTGCCATGGTATGTACAATGTTTTATTGAAAGATTTTTATTGACACAAATGAATTTTCAAGTTTTTGTGGCACAACACATCATTCCAAATTACATTACTCTTCTTTGCTAGGAAATATTACTTACAGCTCGATCTCCTAAATTTCGTACACGACATTGCAGCAATGCTGCCTGGCCCACAATTGAGGTAACCTCACGCCTTGAGGAATTATCAAAATATGGCTGTGAGTAGGGTGTTTCCCAGTAGTGTGAGGAAACATCACCGGATATTATTCGCATTTCTGTAATGAAACAATAAAACACAAAAAAATTATCAATTAGTTTAAGTATACTTTTTTTGTTTACTTATTATCAACATTCGTATGTGTTTTATTTTTATTTTCATATGTGTTGAATATCAATTATTTAATGGAATACTATTTTTAGAAAAAATGCAAAAAAAGCATCAGCTTTTTTTGCACATAAATAAATATTGCTATAAATTCTAATTGAGTTTCCAGTTGTGTGTGTGTGTTTGCCTTCGGAACCGAAAAATACAAGAAAAATAGGTCTTCTAATATGTACATATGTTTGTGGATGTGGTTGAGAACTTTGAGAAAAAATAAGTCGAATATTTGTTCTGTTTTTGCAGTTTTTATTTTCAAACTTTTTTGAAAAATAAATTTCTTTCTTTTTTATACTTTCCAATTTGCATTTAAGTTTGCCAAAAAGTACAACTTTAAACTGCAAATACGGCTTCAAATTATTGTTCGTATTTTTTAATATTTTTGGAGAAAACACTTCTATGTTTTGCACAGTGTTTTGAAGCCAAAACAAATGACCATCAGGAAAAATAGGCATCGTTGGCATAGAAATAAATAAATCGGCAGGGATTTTATACGGGTCTATTTGAAGGTAAATTTCCCCCAGAATATCAAACTGCAGCCATTTCGATTGGAAAATTCGCCGAACATTAATTAAAATACCTATAAATTGGGTTTATACCATGGAACCTATACCCAAAGATTGGAATTCTGAAACAGAAAAATTACTAAAATCCCAATTTTGAATACTTCAGAGACTTTGGGATTTTTTGGATTAATGTTTTGTTACTTTCACTATATATAATTTTTCGTTAGCAACGAACATCGTTATCACCGACATCTGCCCTCTTCTAGTATTAATAGACCACTTTGTTTTTCCCATCAAAAATCTCTTCTTCGACCTTGGTTTCTCTTCTTGGTTCTTTCTTTATACTCAGCTGGTTATGTTTCTTCCCGGTTTTTTTCAGTTTCAGAATTCCGTTTTGTTTGTCCTCTTCTAGTTTTCTTTAAAGGTTTTCTACAATTAGACAACTTTTTGTAGACAACAATACCCTCCATCGAGGATAATTGGGCCCTCTGTCAAAAATCTCCTATTCGGGTTTCTGTAGTACTCATCATCATCTATTATCTCCAACTGGCACAGCTTGGCTTCTTCTGTAGTACCCATCATAATTTTCTTTTATCTCCAGCTGGCACATAATTTCTGCGCGGTTCAGTTTCAACCTTATAAGTCGTTTGTTTTGATTCTTCTTCAGTAATATTACCAACTTTTTGAAGACAACGCTGCCCTCCATATAGGATTATTGGGCCGACTTGATTTTGCCCTCTATCAAAAATCTCTTATTCGGCCTTCTGTAGTACTTATCAAATTTTTTTATCGCCAACTGGTACAGCTTGTTTTTTTTCTGTAGTACCCATCATCATCTTCCTTTATCTCTAACTGGCACATAGTTTCGGTCCGGTTCATTTTTGTACTCGTAAGTCGTTTATTTTGATTCTTCTTCAGTAAAATTACCCATTTTACCATATGGGTCGCCTTGTATTGTCCCCATCAAAAATCTCGTCTTCGAACTTCCATTTCTTTAGGTGGCACTTAGTTTCTGTATCGCCAAACTGCAGAAGTCCTTTTTGTTCAATCGTAAATTGTTTGCTATGATTCTTCTTCAGTAATATTTCCCTTTTTTACCATAGTCCTGGGTCGTCATGTATTTGCCTCGTTCTCGTAATTGAAGAAGAATCAGAATGAAGTAGTTCTGATTCTTCTTAAATAATATTACCCATATTACCATAGTCCTTTAGTTTTGCATCAATCTCCCTGGGATTTTTATGCCATTGCACGTTTGTCAAAGTCCACGTCCAAATTTGCTCCTTCTCTCTGTGGAGGGAGAGAATCAGTTTCGTTCGCTGATTTCTCGATTGACTGTCAAAGTGCGTAAGTTCTACTTTAAATCGATGTGCAGTGTTGCCAACCATGTGAAATATTATAAGGAAAAATTTGACAGAAGGTCGAGACAAAAACAAAGGTTTTTGTTTTGATATATCACTTTATTATTGTATCATGTACCAACCGTTACATCTCCCAACTGGTCGACATATTCATAAAACTTTTACAATACTTTAAATTAAAATTCTTATCATCTACAGAACCCTATAATTATGCTGTTATGTAAAATATTATGTTTATATAAAATAAGTCATTAAGAAATCACAATGAATGCTACAATGGCACAATGAATAGGTAGTCCATTTAGCACAGCTGATGCCTTCATTAACTGTCAAAATGGGTAATTTCTACTTTAATTCGATATGCAATGTTGCCAATCATGTGAAATCATGGCACAATGAATAGGTAGTTTATTTAGCGCAGCTGATGTCTTGATTAAATGTCAAAGTGGGTAATTTCTACTTGAATTCGATGTGTAGTGTTGCCAACCATTTGAAATATTATATGGAAAAATTTGACAGATAATCGAGACAAAAACAAGGGTTTTTGTTTTGATGCATCACCTTATTATTGCATCATGTGTGAAATATTATATGGAAAAATTTGACAGATGGTCGAGACAAAAACAAAAGGTTTTGTTTTGATAGATTTAGCGCAGCTGATGACTCGATTAACTGTCAAAGTTCGTAATTTCTACTCAAGGCCTATTAATATGGTCATGAGGGACAGCTGCAACAAAAATAAAGGTTTTTGTTTTGATACATCACCTTATTATTGCATTATGGAAACTACTGAGTAATTGTTACTGGAAAAGTTAAAGAACCCACCTATTATTGGCTGTATTGTCAATTTACTCTCTCTTTGATTCAAACCACTGTATGCCAATCTTGTCTAAACACTTCTATACTAGAGTTCTTTTTTTCGTTATCGACCTCCTTTCAATGTTCGGGAAGTTTTTAAGAATTGTACAAAAAGAAAAAATAAGAAGAACACCAACAAAAATAAAACTTTGAAGTACAAGACTTTTTAGCATATCAGCTCTTCATAAAGAAAACAAATATTAATCTTTTCGAGAAGTTCGTTTGTTCTTGGAATGTCTTTGGTATTATTGTTGCTACTACCCCTACTACAACCACGAACAAATACTACTCATGTGGTGGTGCTCCTTCCATCTCCCCACACACACACACACACCTCTTGCTTGGAACGATGGATGGAGTCCAACCGAGAATAGCACGTAAGAAGTTCATAATACTGTGGCATTGGCAATTGAAGTCTCCTTCAAATGCCCGCTGTGAGAAGTGCAGAAAGAAAACTTTGTTTAGAAAAATATGCGTACGTTTTTTTTCTTCTTGCTTCAGATTTAATAAAATAATAACTGGTACCAGAAGTTGATGCAGCAGTCAGGCAGGCACTCAGCTAGCTTATGAATCGGTTTGTTGTTGTTCTATTGTGACAATAACCTCGAGCATAACATATTTTTAAAATATGCTCTGGGGGCAGAGAGGAGCCTAACAAGGATAAATGGTGGGGGAAAGATTTATCGGCATGGCATGGCATTTTTTTGAGAAACAAATATTTGTTTTTGTTGCTTTCGAAATCGCTACAAATCGTCCATCGTATTTAGGTATTAATAAAATTGTTGTTCGTTTAAAATTTTCCATGGAAGTAAAAAACAAAACAAAACAACGAAATATGTGATTTTCTTGGGAAATTGTTTACTTGTTTAAAAAAATCAGACGAACAGACGTCGGGATTAAAGGAATTTGCAAAAACTCAATTGGGGATTTATTGGAGCGTGTTTTTGCTAATCGATAAATAAAATAAAATGAGAAAAGCAGACCAAATATGGTGGGCTAGAATAGACGACCATATTAACTATACCATATGTAGCAAATCAGACGATTTGGGATTAAAGTATTATTGATATTAAGAAAAATGTTCGGGCGAAGATCTGAGCCCACTTCATGGATTAAATCATATCAGGGTAAATGGAAAATATGGATATATATAGGAAATATTCTGGAAAGAAGTGTTTTTATTCACCTATTATACAGAATGAACCTCCGGACACTTTATATGAGCTAAGCTACTTGTTAAGTGTAAAATAAAACCAGTAAGGAAAGTAGCAAAGTCGGACTGGGCCGACTATATGATACCCTTCACCACTTTAGGTATATTCTACATATGTATCCGAAAAGACGTCGCTGCACTGTTTAAAATTTAATCTCAATCATACACCCATTGATTATTTGGTGTACAATTAACATCAATAAGTTGAAATTATATATGAAAACTACGTTATATCTATATCTGAAGCGATTTCAAGCAAATCTGCCAGAGATTAATTTAAATTAACTTCAGTACGTTGTGTCAATCGGCCAAGCTATGGATCTTTAGTGCACAATTTACTTAAAACCGGCGAAAAAATATATATAGGAGGTGTACACATCATTCTAGACTTAATTAATGCCAAAATTATTGCCAAACAAAAGATTTGCAGGGACTTTGGTGCACCATTTACCTTAAATCGGGCGAAACTATATATGGGAGCTATATCTAAATCTAAACCGATGTTCACGAAACTTAGCACACGTCATTCTAGACTTAATTCAATACGCTATGCCAAAATTCGTGCAAATCAAATGATTTTCAGGGACTTTGGTGCACCATATACCTAAAATCGGCCTAAACTATATATGGGAGCTATATCTAAATCTAAACCGATTTTCACGAAACTTAGCACACATCATTCTAAACCTAATTCAGTAGCCTATACCAAATTTCGTGCACATGGAAAAATATATAGGGACTTTGGTACACCATTTACCTTAAATCGGACGAAAATATATATGGGAGCTATATCTAAAAATGAACCGATCTTCACGAAATTTAGCACACGTCATTCTAGACTTTATTCAATACGCTATGCCAAAATTCGTGCAAATCAAATGCTTTTCAGGGACTTTGGTGCACCATTTACCTAAAATCGGCCGAAACTATATATGGGAGCTTTATCTATATCTAAATCTTA